TGTTGTAGATCTTTGATGGTTGTGTCCACAACTGGATGATTTGGAAGCTTAAAAAGTAGAGTAGATTAAACCCATTTAAAAGTTTTAAATAATCTAGTTCGTTTACTCGGGTTTGAACAAAGTGATGGAGAAGTTCCAAGTTCCGGAATTGTAGCTGTGGAACCGGTAAAGTGGATTAAGGGGCATATCAGTAATTTGGAAAGATTAAAGGATAGGTCTATAAAGAATAAATTCGTTTTATTAGCACCACAGGTGTAAATTTTTCGATTTTTGGATGTTTAAGGAGCCTAAATTGATCAAAAAGGAACTTTCCGGAACACCGGAACTTTCCGGAACCGTAACTTCGGGTGAAACTCTAATATATATATGCACCGAAAAATTTCAAAATATGCACTGAAATATGCAAAATTCCCGTTTAAAAATAAAATAAATTTACGTTAATTTCATTTCTTTGTTCGTCCATTGCTTCCCGGCATACATCCTTACGTAAATATCCAATATCTAAAATCACTTTTAGAAATTATTTTTAAATATATTTTGACAAACCCAATTTTTTCATTCCAACAGAAAAACATTTTTCAAGTCTACAACTTTTACATTTTTCCCAAGTTCTTTCAATTTTACTCGTTTCTAACAACAATTGTTTATGCAAACATTTACATTTAATATATTTACTCTTTTTTTCGTTTTCAAGATAACGCCTTTTAAAAGAATTTTTCCAAATAAAACAAAATATAAAATACCTGAAAAAAGCCCCACAAGCCCTACATGAAATAACTCCATAATGAAAACAAACATTTTCTTTTGTTTCACAAACTTTGCATTGTCTAAAGGAACTTTCCATTTTTAAAATAAATTGCTATTTTTTCTACAAAAAATATATAAATTTATTATAATTAAAATAGGGTCACGTATAAATTAATTATTTTTGGTAGACCGTGGGTAAGAGGAAGGAATGCTAGTTTTCAGTCTAAGTAGATCATACTAACCCGGCTAGTCCCTGATCTCCTTCAACTGTCCAACCTTCGCATAATTATAACTTTTTATTTTGGAACTCGAAGTAAATCTCGGAGAAATCAAAATTAAGTTGAATACAACCCTATATGTATTTTCAGACAAAAATTTATCAAAAAATATTATCTAGTAAAAAGTTTTCACACAAAAAATTAATTTTATTATCATAAAAAACGGATAATAAATTATAGTTTGAATTAAATTTTAAAATAATTTTTTTAAAAATATTTCATTAAATATAAAAAAATTGTTGGCAAAATTGTTTGTATATTAAATTTGAAATCTGTGAATGACTTTGGTATGGCTGAATTCAATTTTTGTTTTAGTTTTTAAAAAATTATCAGCTGAATAAATAAATTTTCTAAACAAAAATTAAAGAGAGATACTCGAAAATTAAAACTTGACTTGACTAAATATATAATTTTAAAAAAGGATGAGTGAATTTAATCAAACACCCCACAAAAAGTGAAGAAAATGTGACTTGTACACTACATAAACTCATTTTATCTCAAAGAAAAATTTTTTCTGTATAATGAGATAAAAACTATCTTATAGCAAATTTAAAGTGCATTCTGAAAAGTATTAAATAAAAATTTATTTCATCCTATAAGGGGACGAAAATATTTTTTAAATTCCTTTACTCCCGTTTTACGTTAATTTTCGGATTTCGAGATCTCGATGATGGGAGTACATAAAAACTTTATGTATTTCTTTTGTATTTCTTTTCTATATTGGTTGAGCTATCATTACACATATATTTTAAGATATTTTGTGCGTTAAATAAAATTCTAATAAAGGGGGGTTATAATTTATTAACATTAATTTTTTGCAAAAACGTCCAAAAAAGTCTGAGATCAGAAATTTTTAAAGATATTTCGTAAATATTATTTAATATACATTACAACACTACTACAAAAACTTCAGAACAATCCGACAACGGGAAGATAGAGATAATCAAAAAATTCAAGGGGGGGGGGGTTATAATTTCTTAGCACACTGTATCTCAATAATTATAAAAAAAATTGTTGGCAAAACTGTTTGTATATTAAATTTAAAAAGATATGTGAATGAATTTGGTGTGGCAGAATTCAATTTTTGTTTTAGTTTTAAAAAAAATTATCAGCTAAATAAACAAATTTTCTAAACAAAAATTAAAGAGAGATACTCGAAAATTAAAATTAGACTTGACTAAATATATAATTAAATTTAATCAATTTTCTTTTATCTTTCTGATTGTGAGAGTGAAAATTATATGTATATAATAAAGAAAATTTTATTTAAATAAAAAGAGTTAAATTAAATAAAATTAAATCACAAAAAATTTTAATTCAAAGAAAAATAATTCTGGCCTAACTGCACTTTAGTAACGTCATCTAAAAATAGATGATTTATATGTCATTCGAAAGAGCTCGGCAAGCTGAGTTGAATGTCACCAAAATCAGCTCGATTTGATGATTACGAACAAAGTTATGACCAACTAAATCTTCGCTGGAAAAATTGTTTTTGTGATGTTACGGAGAGTAGGCCGGGCATGGTCATCGCTAACCGACGACCGCAGCCTCGCTGCGGTCGTCGCGAGCTCTCACATAAGGCCTCCGCCTCAGCTCGACGAGCTCTTTCGAATGACATATAAATCATCTATGTATTTTTAGATCACGTATTAAAGTGCACTTTAGCCAAATATTCTATTAATATAAGATTTAATTTTATTTTTGAAATTATATTTGTCCTTGACGAGTAAAGTAAAATAAATAAATAAAAGATTTATTTATCTGTTAAATAATTTTAATATTATGAACTTTGCGGAAATTAGCTTTATTATTTTTCTAACTTGTGATCAGATAAATGATCGAATAAAAGCTATTCCTTCACCAAAACAATTTTAAGCCTTCTTTTGATTTAACTTTTTTGTTTTTTTCCATTTTTTTCATTTATTTAAATTTTTGTTAAAGTTTCGATCTATTGGATTTGTCTTCTATAAGAGATTTTTAATAAAATGTTTGAGAGAAAAGTAAAAAAGATCAGTCGCTTTCACGCCCACACATCTGAGCCGCTGAGGGAGGGAAAAATGATAGAGAGAAAAACTAAGAGAAAATTATCTAAAAAATATTTAAAAGTAATGGAGAACGGGTAAGAGAACAATTGTGGATTAAAGCTTTATATTACTTAAATATACCTATATCTTCTCGTATTTCTTCTAAAAAAATTAAAGTTGTAATTTTTGAACATTATTAAGTTTAAATATTTTTTAATTTTAAAATGATCATCAAGATTTTAATTTTAAAAGAACAGTTGTTCTTTTCTGTTCGTGTCATTTAAAAGAATTCTGTCATTTAGAAATTTTAAAGTTTTTAAATTATGTTCAATTTTTTATATTTAATATTTATATTTAAATATTTTTTGTGTAAATAAAAAAAATATTTCTGAATTTCCCCCAAAATTTTTTTAGTTTTATATTCTCTCAAAAATGTCTCCACCCGCCATCCAAGGCCAACCAAAAATTCGGCATGATGAACAGACAAACTCCGTCTTCCTTGAAGTTTCTGTCCTCGGAGCTGAAGCAACTAAAACCAAATGGTATTTGGAAGAAAAAGAAATAGCTTCAGGTACTGGTGCCTACAGAATGAGCACTCAGGAACAAGAAGGAGGCAAAAAACTGATTATTTGCGAGATTAAAAATTATGACAAAAGCATGCAAGGAACTTATAAAGCTGTGAGTTTGTACTTTTAGTAAATATAGGAAGGGACCTTTCTTGGAAGGTAGAAAGGAGATATGTTTTTAATCTTCTTGGTAAAATATCTTAATTGAGGAAATGATTGTGAAAAATTAATTAATGTCATTAAAAAATTTAAACAAAATTCTTCAGGTATTTTTCAGTCCTGATGGCAAAGAAAATTATGCAACATTTACAGTCAAATCTGGAAGTAAGTTAAAATAAATAAATAAATTAGAGCTAGTTTAGAAAAAGGTATTTGTGGGGCGGCATTCTTACGTGCCGAACAGAAAAATGTTTTTACTTTTCCTTCATTTAATTACAGGTATACAAACCGGTGATGGAGAAAAGTGTCATCACTCGGGAACTAATTTTGAATTGTGCAAAAGTCTAGACCCTGAAAGGTTAAAAAGTAAGGAAATTCCTTAAGAATGCCGCTTCTTAGAATTGCTAGAAATTAATAGAATTATTAGAATTTTGTAGAATTATATTGTAGTAGATGCTTTATTAGAATATAGCTTATTAAAATTAATTTTACAAAATACTAGATGGGTAACCAGAAATTAATGGGACACTTTATTTTTTCACAACTTTACTCAATGTTAAGATAACAAAATCAAATAATTTCTATAGATAAAGACCCATTAATTTCTGGTCACCCTGTCTAGTATAATTAATTAAATAAAGATGCTCCTGAATTTTATGAAAAGCCAAAAATTACACAAAAAGATGGTGGAAAAGTTATTCAAATAAAGATTCGAGTCAAGTCACATATTGAAATGAAAGCTGAATGGTTCAAGGCAAGTTGTATATTTATAATTAGAGACCGCCAAATGCTTCATGTAGGTCAAGGCTTAGATCAAGCTTAAAATAATTGTTAGAAATACGTATTTTCAACAAGTTTTAGAATCTCAATTAAATTTTTATCTTTTACAAACCTACATATTATTTTATAAAAGAAAATTTCATGAAAGAATTTTTTTAAACTAAAGCGGATTAATTTATGAGTAAAGGCGCCGAAATGTTTATTTTAAGCCTAAAAGCGCTAAGAAATTTTTATCACTGAAATAAATTGACATTGCACAATTTAATTAAGGTTTTGTATATGTATATGGTTGTTAGAGCCTTCCAAGACTCTTGGTCTTGAGTCTTGACTCAAGACTTTTCTTGGGGTTTTTTTCGGTCTTGGTCTTGGGGTGAAGTCTTAGAAAATTTTCGGTCTTGGAAGGCTCTAATGGTTGTTTCCGCTTTGTGTCCTATTTTTTATAAAGAATGTTTATAACTTTGCTTTTATTAAATACAAAATTTTTATTAAAGGATGAAAGCCCACTCAAAACCGATAACAGAATTAAATTATCAACAGAAAAGGACAGTAGTGAACCAGATGGGACAATTTTGTTGTTGGAAATAAATGATCCAACAAAAGAAGATCAAGCAAAGTATTTTGGAATTTAAATTAAAATAAATATTTTATTTTATTTAAAGGTACAAATGTGTTGTGAAAAATGGTGAAGGACGTAATGAACAATCGTTGAATTTAGTTTTTGATTAAAAATAAATGAAAAAGAAAATCAGAAAAATATTAAGTATACCCTCAATTTCTCAAAAATATTGTTTATTTGGTTAAGAAAAAAATTAATTTCTAGGATACAAAATCATTTTATGCCCCGTAATATTGCAACCAGGGCTGGACGCAACTGCTGATTGCGCTGCGTAAATTCCATGGGTTTTTGACTTGTGGGCTGCGGATTGCGACTGCTGAAAATTTTTTTAATTGCGTCCAGTACTGATATCAATAAATAGTTTTATGGAAATATTTAAAAAATATTCTTTAAAAATTTTATTTAGATTTCTTCCTTCTAAAATTAAAGAAAGAATTTTTCTATCAAAATTTATTTTTATTTAAAATAAATTTTATTATATCTCCAAACTTATAAAAACTTTTTTTTCTACGTTTTTATCAACTAACTAATTAGTAGAGTCCGACATTTTAGGCCCGAAAAATTGTGAAATAGGTTCCTATTTTAGGTTTTTTGAGGTAGCAAAATAGGTTCAAAAAAATCAGAAAAAGGCCAAAATAGGTCCAAATTTTGAAAAATAGGTCCGAATTTTTGAGTTACTTTTAGTGTTAAAAAATAAAATTTTTGGAAAAAAATTTTATTTGGAATAATATGTAGTTTATCTATCTACAGTTTATCTACATATTATTCCAAATAAAATTTTTTTCCAAAAATTTTATTTTTTAACACTAAAAGGAAGTAAATTCTTATCGGAGTAAAATGACAACATCGAATTCTGTTAAATTCAAGGTGACACTTTCATGAACATTAAAATCTGGTTTTGAAACTTATCGCAATAGATTTCACATTAAGGGTTGCCGTTATTCGAATCGGGCTGACGGTCGAGGCATTTTTTTCAAATAACTTAGGCCCGACTCGATCTTTCGGTCCGAATCGGGCCATTTTGGCAACCCTATTCACATATGAAGATCACTCAAACAATGGGAATTTTTGGCGCCGCAGGCGAAAATTTTAAGAATTTTAGATACATTTTGCGGAAAAATTCACCTTTTTGATAATTCCCCTACTAAATTTTTTTATTTTCCGATATTTCATGGGGAAAAGTTGAATAATTTACTAAAAATAATCAAATTTTTAGAAAAATCTTCAAAAAACCTAAAATAGGCCCAAAAAAGGTCAAAATAGGTTCAAATAGGTTTTAGGTCTAAAAAAGCCTAAATAGGTTTTTTAGGCTTAAATAGGTCCAATGTAGGAGCATGGTACCGTGCCAAATAAGTGTTTTTTGAGCTTTACTCAACATTACAAGGTTGCAAAACAAATAGGTCGGAACCTAAAATGTCGGACTCTACTAATTAGTTTATTGTCTAAAATCTACACATTTCTCTCTCACTCTTCCACATATTTTGCTACAAATTCTCTTCATTTCTTATGAAAAATGAAACTTTTTTTGAATAAAAATAAAATCTTTTAAATAAAGAAATGTGAGCTATACACAAAAGTAGAAGCTTTAAATGTACACAAACAAATAGTAAATTAATATATTCTCTTTGAATAATTTTAAATAAATTCTATATTTTTTTATTCAATAATTTTAAACTTTACAACCTTAAAAATTAATTGTTAAGGAATTAAAGGAGACCAAAAAAATTGCTAAAAGTCTCCTTTCTTTTCATATATTTAAATCTTATTTTTAATAGTTCTTTAAACGAGAAAAACTTAACTACGTAATATCCAATTTATCAAAAAAAAGATACAAATTCCCTTTAAAAGCCCCAACATTTTTGTCTAACCAACTTTTAACCTTAAAAGATATAACAATAAAAAAAAACTTTCGTTTTTTCCACTTTTTATCCAAAAAACAAACAATAGAGAAAAAAAGATATTGAGGAAAGAGTAGAATATATCCGAGGAAATAAAGATTTTTTTGTTAAAATGATGGCAAATTTGTTCGGCGGGCGGTCCACAAAATTGAATTGAAAAAAAATTTCAAAGCAAGGAAGGTAAGGGGAAAGGTAAAGGCATTTTTCTAGACAAAAATTTTTAAATTTTTTTATTTTTTAAAACTGGCAGTTTTCTTGTAAAGAAGAAAATCCAATAATAAAATTACCAAAAATTATTCAGAAATTTTGTAGAATCTCTTCTTCTCCCATTTTAGGGATCGGATCTGGTTAAAAATAAGAAAGATAAAGAGAGAAATAAATCTTTGTTCTATTACTTTTTCCTCCAATCTTTTTCATTTTCTCCAAAAATACATATTTTTATTGTTCCAAACAGAATTTAATAAAAAAATTTTTTATTAAATATTCTGTTGCCAAAATTAAAGTTACCTATGTATGTATATATTATTCCTTTATACAAATATTGTTAAATTTACATCCTTTTCTTTAAAAAAATTCTTAAAAAGGAAGGTGTGAAAACCCCAAAAATGAAAGGAAATAAATCAAAGACCAAAAAATATTTTCTTTTCCTCATTCTCCCAAGCTAAAATCATTATGCGTGGGCATAATAAAAAAAATTATATATATTTTTTATATAATCTTCCATTTCCTTAACTTTATTTTTTATTATTAATCATTTTCACCTGTTCCCAATATTCTTTTAGACTATCCACATATTCACAATGTATTGAACATTTGCATTATTTAGTTTTTTTGCTTTTCCCTTTTCCTTTTTTTGTTTAAAATTTATTTGTTTGTGAGACTTTTTTTGTGTGTTGTCTTTGGTTTTGTGCCACCTTTACTTTATTGCCCTCCAGCCCTTCTTTGGACAATTCCTCAGGGATGAGGCGGCGATTTTCCCATAACAAACATAAAAAAGCACAATGGAGGTGATAGTGGTAGAATGGAAGGAACTAGCTAGTTTTATTACTTGTTGAAAAATTTATTATTGGCATAGGAGTACATTCTTTATTTTTTGTTTTAAAGAAACAAAATAATAACCCTAAAATTTCAATTTTAATATTTATATAAAGGCTTTTATTTTGTTTTTTTTTAATTTACGGAGGATTTTTTTGGGTGTAAAGATGGAACTAGCTCGTTTACTCGTTTTTTAGTTCTTCAAGTTTTTCGTCTTTTCTTCCTTACTCTTTCACTTTGCGTCCTTTATCAGCTCCTTTTAAGTCTAAAATATATCCTTCTCTAATAATTAATATTTATTTATTTTGTAACATTTACATAATTTAGAACAAAATAATCTGGATTAATTTTCACAAATTCTTTTTATATCTTTTTTATTTTTTGAAACCATATTTATTCATAAAAATGGAATTGTAAAAACATTTTACATTGTTTAAAAATAATAAGAATTATTTGAGATAATCTTTAATTTAAAATCTTATTCATTTGTTTAAAATGTGAATTTTCTTAAATTTTTTTCGAAAATTTCTTTTCATTTTAATTTCTTATTAAAATTAATTTCTTCTGATTTTTACTCAAATCCATTACTAACTCATTCTTATATAAAGTTATCAGCAAGGAGAGTCTTCTTTACTGATCCAATTATTGTTTCTTTATAAAATTAAAATATTTATCTAAAATAAAAGTATAAATAAATATAACCGGATGTGCACATATTTCAATTTATATATAATTAATTAATTTGTTTAAAAAATAAAAGAGATAAAGTTATAAAATATTTCAAACAGGTGGCCAATATTTTTAAAATGTGGCAAAAGAAAATAAAAAGAAGAAATTAATTATGAGGCATTTACCAATGAAAAGATTGTGTAGAAGAAATTCACAAAGTAAACCCAGATAAATATATTAAATATATATATCTTTGTTATCTTTATGGTCTTATCATGAAAAAGATCAGAAATAATCAGTTCGTATTTTTCATCTTTTTCTATCCTCGTTCTGATAAATCTACTACTATATCCCTTTTTCACAAAGCTTAATGTTCCTCCTACAAAAATTCTACAGTTTAAATCACAATATAAATTCAAATCACAATTCTCAAGGTGAAGAGAAGGTGCTAATAAGTAAAGGACATTAATTAGCATTTTTATAATTCCTGCAATATATCTGGACATTTACAACTTTATCAAGAATGTTTAAATTATAATTTCATTTTAACCAAAAGATTCAAACCCCTTTTAATTATCGGTTTAAAGTTTATTATTTTAAAAGATAAAAACTTAATTCTTAGAATTTACTTATTAATAAATAAATAGTATATTATAATACGTACTTTTAAAGATATATAATTTTATTTAAAAATCCTCTCCAAATTAATCTCAAATTAATAAAGGTCGAAGATTTTAATTTTAATAAATTGAAAAGTAATTACTTTTTTTATTAATAATTTTTTAATATACATATTTATTCATTCCTCTCTTCAATTCCCCACTTTTTTCGAAAAAAATCTTTGTTTTTTTTTGCCTCAACATTTTTATCGAGAATAAATTGAGTGAAGCGCCAAGTGCATCAATTTTAATAAAAAATATATATATATATATTTATTTATACATCATTAAATCCTTCCTTTCCTCCTCAAAACCTTTAAAATTAAAAAAATCTTTCTTCTTTATATTTTAATTTGCGCGATATATAAAAATAATCTTCTACTCTCATCCTTATACATAAATTAATCCTTTTTTGTTTATTTAAATATTAATTTGACTCATACGTGAGTTTTTGCATAAAAATAAAGTAAAGAATTTGATTTGATTGTTTTTTTTGGTTTTGGATATTTCGATAAGGAATTTTGTTAATATTTAA